CGCTCAACAGTGATTGCGGTTTGATCACAGCTGAATGCATCACAACTTCCGTGGATCCATTTTTCATTGTTAGCTACGCACAAAGTCAAATAGGACGCGGTGGTTGGTACTCAACCACTCCCTTTCACACATTTTACCACTATAACAAAAAACACATTTCGACTGGATAACATGAGTACAGCCATTATGGTTATTCTCTCAACCAGCTATATAGGAACCTTGCGACTCTAGGTTACGGAACAATAACCACCACCACGACGACAACAACAACAAATGCCAGCATATTGAACTCATAATACCTACCTACATTAGATCAATCTCAAAAATGAGATCTTGTACGGCTGACCACGACAAGGGAGCTTGCGACTTCAGTTGTAGTTCGTTCACGGTCGGCAACGATTGGTCTGGTCGGTTGAACGTCCGCATAAGGCTCAACTCATCCAATGGTAGCAGCATCAGCCAGTAGGAACACATTGTCGTTTGTATTCTGTTTTTCTAAGTCCTTTGCTCACACGCACTCGTGTTGGCAAATTAGACCTGTAAAATCAGCTTGTGCAATTTTGATGCGCAGAAATGGTCAAAAAATGTCATCGAATGCCTTTTTCCTCTCCATAACCGGACAAAATATATCACTCATATTTTTAATGAATGGCTCAGCTGTACACCTTTGAAGTCCAACTTTAATTCATCATTGAATCCATTGGTTTTCCACCGTGTACTTAATCAGATTAATCCGTTGTGATAAATGGTTATCTAAACCGGATCTATTTCACTAAAAAATGGCCCCAGGGCCAAAGCGTTCCGTTGTGATGGGTGCTTACACCTCAAATGCTCCCAACTCGATGCAGACAAGTATGATTGGCTCAAGAAATGTCTCTCTCTCTCTGTTCCTGAAGACTGTGTACTTCTGGCGCGTGATCTCCACTTCGAAAGAAAGTGCCACTCCAATATTGGACAGTGATCCACCCCCAACAACACCGGCTGCAGTGGAGACAGTGAACCCTTCGTAGGCGGACATCACGCCTTCGATGAAGGCAGCTCCTGCAACCGCACCGCAGCAAAAGCAACCGAAGAAAATGCCGGTACTATCAGCTGCTGCACTGCTCCCAGAAATCCACTCAGTTCCCACGACATCCAGGCAGCATGCACACAACCTATCCCGGACAATTGATAGGTACCTCCGCGTTTCCCAGGAACCTGTGCCGCAGAAGAAGACCCCTTTGCGATCACAATGTATCATCGTAGTTAATCTTCCGGAGGCGGAGGCTACCACCGCCCAGGCTAGATTAGACCACGACCTGCATTTAATGCGATCGCATATGGTGATCTTGTTTTCAGGCGACTAGGCGGAAACCGCAGCATCCAATCAGAGTGGAAGCGGCCTTCCAACTTGGAAAAACTAGCCGGGATAACTATCCGCGGTTACTTAAAGTGGTTTAAAGCGATACTCCAGCGGACCTACACGGTGAAGGTAGCGCGATAGTAAGGTTCCTCTGGGATCTTGATCCGGACCAGCGCAGCAAACTAAAAACTGCATGAGGAAATCAGAGAGCGCCCTGTGAAATAGGAAACTTATCTCTGCATACGGGATTCTCAGGTGTATCGCAAGCGCCTTCAGCTGCGTTGGCTATTCTTGACCGGGGG